AGCTGTTAATTTAAAGAGGGGGAAAATAAAAGAGAGAGAAAAAGAATTTTTTTATTGGCCTTCCCCTTTCTTTCATCTCCTCCCTCCCTCCTGCTGTGCAAGACAAACTGTCATGGGCTGTTTCGTCACTGTGGCCTTGAGCTGCAGCATCACCTTTGAATTTTTCAATTTTTTGATAATAATAATAATAATTAAAAAAAAAGGACAGGGTTTTCTTTTTTGTTTGTGGGGGTTTTGTTTTTGTTTTTGTTTTTTTGGTTTGGTTTGGTTTGGTTTTGTTTTTCAGTTTTTGTTTTGGGGTTTTTTTTGTTTATTTAGGGGTTTTTTTGTTGTTGTTTTTCTCTGTCAAGAGACCGGATGGCTCCTGGAACCTCCTTTGCATCATTAGAGGCAAAAACTATGTAGCAGTTTCTTAAATAAAAGTATAAGCTGTGTCTTGTACCTCTTTTTGCCCTGAGCCACCCTCCCAGGAAAGCCAGAGCTACTGGATGGAAACTTCATCTGTCCTTCCCCACTTTTTTTAAAACAAAGACCCTGGAGGCAACTCCTGGTCCTTCCTGTCCTGCACCAGTGCGGTGAATGTTCTAGGATTTTAATTTCTTTATACCCCTTCCTCCACCTAATAAAGATCTGAGCATATCACTGGTGTTTGTCTGCATTTTCAAAGGCTCCAGGAGTGGTGTTACCACCTGTCCCTTTCCACCTGCTCTGGCAACAGGAGCTGAGCTGGGAGGGTAAGAGCAGCAGGTGGGTCTGACCAAGGTGAGTTCACCTGGGGCTGAGAGCTCTCAAGCAGCTGCAGCAGGGATGGGATCGGGGCAGGACCCTGGCTCCTGCCAGGAGCATCGTCTCTGCCCTTGGAGTCTTCTGAGGTGGTGCTGAGTCCCTGTGGAGCAGCTGGGATGGGGAGGGAGCAGAGCTGCAGCACTGCCCTGCCTTGCTTTGCCCACGAGGTCCATGGGCTGCACTGGGAGGAAGGGCAGTGGTGAGGGCTCCCCGGGGAAGTCTCCTGCTCATCCTCCTGAGCAGCGCAGGAAGTGGGTAAATATGTAGCACACAACAGGCAAGGGGATTCTATTTTCCCCTCAAGATCCACAAAAAATTGTTTCTATCCTGAGAACCGCTTTTAATTTTGTTACCAGCAATCAGGCACTCTGGGACCCAGTTGTCACGCAACCCTCCCCCAGCCTCTGAGCAGCACAAGAACTGCCCTGGCCTTCCTCTGCCCTGGCTCAGGTTTTGACACTGCTCGAACTCCAGCAGCTGCTGCAAGCTCTTGGCAGCTGCTGTCCCACTGCCACCGGCTTTGGGATGTTAAGAAGGGCAAGGATGTGCCTGTGGGCTGGGGCCTCCCAGTTTGTACAAGGGCTGTACAAGCAGCTGGGCCCTGACAGCAACAGGACCTCATTTACCCACTATCTGAGCTGCTGCCTCTCAGGAGTTCTTCACACCCCCCCCCCCCCAAAGAACTGCCTTCATTTGAGTTCTTGTTTGCAGATACCTGGTGCTGCCCTGCAGGTGTAGCTCAGTCCTTTTGTGTGTGTCAAGGTCCAGAAGCAGCTGGAGCTGGGAAAAGGCAGCAGGTGAGAGTTGGTGCCAGCCCACAGCAGCCCCTGAGCCTTGGATTCCTGGCAGAGCCACTGCAAGAACTCCTGCCAGTGCTTCTCCACTGTTTCCAGCCACGCAACTTCCATCCTCAGCCTGGCTGAGAGCACAGGGCAGCACACGGACTGTGGCGTCCTACAGCACCCTTCTCTTCCCCAGCACCTGGCAGCCAAGGCAGCTCCAGCACCTTCCCAGCTGCTCTGGGATTCTGCCCACAGGCAGAGTGTCGCAGTCAGCCACAGGGAGGCTCCTCTGCTTTCCTTGTGAGACTCAACAAGGTGTTTCTCCCTTTCCCTACGCTGTCAGTTCTGCAGGACTCTGCAGCAATTTCCTCTCTAAGCCCTGTTCAGGCACTGATGGCAGAGCCGAGGTGACCCAGCTGCACTTGGCTGTCCAGGAAAGGCGGGGGAATCCCTCCCTCCACGAGCAGCAGCTGGGTTTGCTGGATGGGCTGGAGCTGGAGGGAGCAACTCCTGTCAGTTCTGGGCAGCCCAGTGCTGGAGGGCCAGGCAGGAGATACAAGCAAACCAGATCCCAGACAGCACCATCCCTGTGTGTCCCATTCCCCAGTATGGAGGCTCCTTTGGGAAGGCAGCTCCACCATTCCTCCAGCACAGCTGTGCACCCAAAGCACTTGACCTCAGCTAGATTTGACTGGGCAGCTGCTACTCTGCCACTGACGCCAAGTGCAGCCGGTGCAAACCCCTGCTGCTTGTCCTGCTAATTTTAGCCCAACTGCAGCATCGAGGCACAGCAAACACACTTCCCTCCTGGGCCTGCAGGGAACAGCGTGGGCCAGGCAGGGCCAGCAGCCATGACCTCATTCTCTCTGCCAGGCGTCTGCACGAGGCCAAAGCCATTCCCTGCCCCAGCAGTGGAGCTCCCTGCTGCCGTGTCTGATCCTTTCAGGAGCGCTGTGCTCCTGCCCTGCCAGAGCACCGACCACCAGCAGCACCACGGCCCCACGGCCGCAACTCTGACCCACGTCCTGCCTCCCTGCTCCAGTCACAAATCCATGAAACAGCTTCTCACTGGTCTCCCCCTTCCTGACTTAAGAAGACTAAATACAACAGCAAAGCCTGTGGCCTTTTCCCAAAGTCCCCCTCTAAATCAGTTTGTTCTTTAGTCTTAGGTGCAGGCGGCTGTCAGACAGCAGCTTTATTTCCCAGTAACCTCACGGATTTTTGTGTATGGGTGTACACACTGATACCAGAGCAGCACTGAACTTTTCATTCAAAGCTTTGAATAACCCATGCAACGCAACCAGGAAAGTAACAGTACAGAAATATTTTCATTTCACATTTTTATTAGTAGACAGATGTGCAGAAAAGACAAAATATAACTACTGAAGGGGAAGACAACACAAAAATGCATCAGTTAATTCTTTCTGGTAAATTATACTGAAGAAAAAAAGGAAAACATCTGGGAGTTCAGCTAAGAAAACTACTAAGAAATCTAGTGTACCCTGCTGGTTTCAGAATGGTTGAAAACTGCATTTGAAGGGACTTGTAAGTTGCAAATGTAAACGCTAATATTGGCTGAAACAGGAGAAAAAGGGTTAAGAAAAAACAGAATACACAGGGTAGGTAAACATTTTTCTGCAATCATCTCTTAAATAGTTTCAAAAAAATCCCCTCATACTTCAGTTGTATCTGAAAAAAAGGAAACCAGCAAGTCAACAAGCAATGACACTGCACAAGACAGTGGGGGAGAGAAATTAGTCTGGTTATTGTTGGAGCGCTCAAAAGAGGTTGCTTTCTTGTCTTTAAAAAAGGGTAAAACAAGAGTCATAATAATGCATCTTACAACACCAAGCTTGGAAATACAAGTCACTGGAGAGTATACAGTGAAGACGGTCAAAAGTACAAGGGAAATCCTGAAAGATGCAGTATCCTCATTTCCAACCCAGCCATCAGCAAAGCCAGCATTGTCACCCTCTGCTCCTTCACCACCCCCAGCCACCTGAAAGCTGAAGGTTGGTGCCCCTGTCCCGGCATGGCCCTGGGACCAGTTCTGCAGCCAGGAGACAGGGGCCCTTTTGCCACTCCTGATGCTGCCCTCGGAGGGCTGGTGTGAGGCTGGGGGTGCCCCACCCTCGCTGGATGCAGGGGGCAGCCCCGCTGTCAGCTGCAAAAAGCACCTGGGACTGAGTCAGTCCTTGCTGGAAGGTCGAGCTGAAGGAGCAGGACACCTCAGGAGGGTGCAGCTGCCTTTCCAGGTAACATGCAAGCAGGAGGGCAGAGGGCCGTGGGAAGCAGCGGGGACAAGGAATCACCACTTGGGCTGCCTTCACTCCCTGGGGGCAAAGGGATGCACATCCCCGGGCAGGGACTGTCCCTGCTGCAGCAAACCCCTGCCAAGCAACACTGAAAACAGATCTGCCTCGCTCATTTCACACGGAACCCCACATAACTTCCTCTCCTCCCCGAGGGCCGCCTCCCCTCCTCTCCCTCCGGGCAGCACACTTGGAACTCAGTCTCGCCCGGGGCACAGCTGATCCCGAACAAACCCCTGGAGAGGCTGCAGCTGGTGACGTACCATGGAAAACCCTGAGATACACGGAGGGGACGAGCAGGTCCTGGCCATGGTGATGCCTCTGTGCCTGTGGGGACCGAGGGTCCCACCCAAGCAGGGGCAGCACCCCTGAGCTGCTCCGGGGCTGCCAGAGCTGGCATCAGATCCAGGAATCATGCACAAGGTGAACTTGGGGCACTGCACCACAGCCAGGATGCTGAGGGACTGGGGAAGAGGGTTCTGAGACAGGAACATGCATGATTCGATCCCCCTGACCACGATGGAGGGCCCTAAGCTCTGCCAAGAGCTCCCAGAAATGTGCGGGATGGCGAGCTCAGGGCACCGGCTGAATGAAGCACGATGCTGGAGACAGACCCTGCTGCCGGCCTTCCCTTCCAGCCCAAAAGCCCTGCCTCGTGGGGGGCTGCCCGTGTTTCCTGTGCCCCAGTCAGGTGGGCAAGGGAGAGCCCAGCACCACCCACCCTCTGCCCTGGGGGCACTGGGACAGCCTGGACACCACAGGCACCAAGAGGAGCTCTGACCTCTGCCAGCCCCACAGAGCCCGTGGGGCTGCAGCAGAGCTGCGCCCACCCACAGGCAGGCAGCATAAGCAACAGAAAGCTGCACAGGGCTGGGGCTGCAGGAAGCAAGGGCTGCTAGTGGGGCAGGAGAATACTGGTCTCTCTTACTGCCAAAAATAAGTTTAGGGTGAATGGCGGCCCACTGGGCAGCAGGGTGTACATCTGTTCTCATCCCTGCAGAGGGGGGCAGCTGGCAGCAAATGCCAGCAGAACAGCTAAACTGAACTTTTGCAACCCTATCCTAGTCTGAAAAAAAAGCAATTAAAAAAAAAAAATAAATAGCAATCCAGGGCTCAGTTGTACAGACGTGAAGTGTTAAGTGTTTATTTTAGGGTTCATCTCACAAGCCTTTTCCAGAGACAGAGCTGATTGTGCCCTCTGGGGCTCCAGAGGCCAGCTATATTTCCTAACTTAGTAGGTTGAAAAGGAATACTGTACCTTTCAGTGACATCCCATCAAGCTCAACACACAGTAGCTTTACACTCTCCGCCCCACACCTTATAAAGGAAAAGCCACCACCACAAGGTTAAACGAATGTACACACGCTATTATTGTAAATGGAGCAGCTAAACCTTGGCAATTTGCTTCGTGGGGATTTTTTTTCTTCCCAGTAAATGCAGCACTTGAGCTCCTGAAAACCCGGCTTCCAATGGGTTTGTTCCAGCTTTAAATACATTAAACATCTCAATGCAAGACTGTATTTAATTCAAGAATCTAAACGCGAGCAAACCTGTTTTGCTGTGAGCGTTTCGTAGAGAAGTGAAAAGGGGAGTTTCTTTTTTAAAAAGAAATCGTAATACAGTGATGAAAGGGTTAAGAATGCAAGAATTCAGACATTCTGTGGAGGGTCTCTAAGAGGTCCATAAAAAAGGAGCAAACAGATCCATACAACAGGAGACAGCAGGAGACAAAGTTTTGTGTTGGGTTTTTTTTTTGTTTGTTTGTGGTTTTTTTTTCTTTTTTTTCTTTTTTTTTTTTGACACCCCCCCCCACTTTTTTTGCTGGACTGCTGCTAGGTTACCGCTGCTCCCTTCTGGCCTGAGTCGGCAGGGCAGTACAGGGGCATAGAGGGAGCAGGTCACGACTCCTCGTTGCCAGAATCATCATCATCGTAACAGTCGGCATCCTCCTCCTCCTCGTCTTCGTCGTCAATGTCGTCATCGTACAAGTCGTCGTAAAGCAAATCTGAACTGTTGTCATTGGAAGGCACTTTAGTTTTGATGCAGTACTCTGCCAGTGTAGTGGGGACCTTCACGCCATCCTTCTCTGCCTCAGCTTTGGTAGCCAAAACCTGTTTCCTGTGGGGAGAAGGACACAGCGGGAACGTGAGCAGGGCCAGCGGCAGCTCGGCTCCACTCCCCCCTCCCGGCCAGCCCCAGCCCAGCCCTCCTGGCAGTTCAGAGTCAGGAGATTGGAGGTTTGGATAAAGCACCACAAACAGCACTGGAAATGGACTTAGTTCCTGCAGTCCCAGCCTTGTGAACACAGCAAGGGTGTTTGCAGCAACATATGAAATCCGTTATTTCACAGGACTCCATGTAAGACCCATGCCAGAGCTCAGAGCAAATTCCATTTGCTACAGCAGGAATGGTCAGGGATTTCCTGCATGATTTATTGACTCTACTCTGACAGCTCTACCTCCCATGTGCTCAGAACTGCCATTCCCACAAGCCTTTGGCAGGTCTGAGCTCCCAGCAGAGGACAAGAGCAGCTGGAGTGTGTGGCTGCACCCCAAGGCACAGCCGTAACCCCAGCCTGGGGCTGGCAGAAGCCAAGTGTTTCCCATCCCCCCAGGACAGGCTCTGGCTGCTGCCTCCCAGCAGGGAGGAACAGATGGCAGCCTCATCCCCTCATCCCCTCATCCCCTCACCCACCCGCCTGCTCCTCAGCCTGCCATTCCCTGCGCAGGGAGTACATCCAGCTCTGCAGATGCCGAGGGAGCTGGAGGACTGAACCTCCTAGCTCGGTTCTCTGCACAGACAGACTACCCTGCCAGCTCCAAAAGGGGCACATCCTGCTGGCCCAGCTGGCACAGCCAGAGCAGATGTGGCCTCACGGCAGCAGTCCCTCTCCAGGCTCTGCAGCGGCCCTGGCTCACTCTCACATCACCTCCCTGCGGCTCCCGACGAACCATGAACTCAAAAGGCAGCACGGAGCAGTGCTTCCAGCTAATCAAACCCAGCTTTGCAAGGCCTTGCCAAATCCCACTGATACTCCTTCGAATTGGAGGGACATGATTATGATTCATACGTGCATTAAGCACAGGAATTAGTAGGATGCAGTCAGTTTCCATCACATCCCAAGCAATGCAGGGCTCAAAAGGCAAGCAGGGACTCTGACGGGGATTTACCAGTAGCCAGTAGGTTTTGCAGAGCATCATGACAGATTAGTCTGAAAAAAGGACCATTTAAAGACATATTAGCCCAATCCTCCTGCCCCAGAAGTCTGCTCTGCTTCTGTGCCCTGAAAACTCTGGAGGTATCAGATGCATGGACTTGGAATAAGGTGATAAAATTAATTTCCGAAGAAACAACTACTGCAAGAAATGAGTTTCAGCAAATTCTGGAAGCAGCCCATTTTACAGGATCCAACGCAGGAGGCTGGCAGCACAGCATCCCACGTGGAAAAGCTTACCTTATGATTTCGGCGTACTCCTTGTCTTTTCCTTTACTGTCCCTCCATTTCCTGAACATGACTGATGCATCCACGTTGGCTGGGGAGAATGTGTTGGGCTCATTAAGCAAAGAGATTACACTCAGTAAGATAGTCCTGAAAGAGGTAACCACAACAGCAGAGTCAGAGCTAATGCACTCATGGATTCTGGATGCCGACGACTTCTCTGGATGATGCATCAGAAACTTGTTTGAAGTCAAGTCTTAAGCTGAGGATAATATTTTAAGTGAGAGCAGATATTTATGAACCTCACACCCTGGCCATCCATGAGGAAAGGTGACACGACACAAAGCTCATGTGCCTGCAGTTCAGCGTGTCTGGGCACGTGCTTGTGACATGGCAGCAGGCAAAGCTGCAACCAGAGCACAATTCAGCTTGTCCACACCACTCACAGATGGTGCGGGGCTGGGAGCCTGCTCAGTGAGCCTGTTCCCACTGGCATGCAGCCCCTCAGCAGGAAGCCAGGCTGTTTGCCTGCCCTGCACAAGGAGAAGGAAGGACCATTAGGATCCAAGGCCATCAGAAAAGGCTGCACTGCTTTGCCTCTGCCCCACTGGGTGGTAAGAGGTTGAGGCCGTGGGCAAGTCCCTCCTCTCGTCAGCTCGTGCATCACTCAAAAAGCTGCAGCAGCAGCAGCACTCGAGCACAGGAGGGGAAGGCAGTGCAGATGTTTTTCAACACCCAGGCCAGCTGCCAAGGCCCAGAGGGATTCAGCTGCTGGTGCTCAGCAAAGCCAGCATGAGCCAGTCACGTAACCCCTGGCAGACAGACATCCTTCTTGGATTTCCAGCAGCAACCCAGACCTCGCCAGCTGCCCTGCTCTGCTGGCATTTACCAGGGGTAAACACCACCCCCTTGCCCAGAGACCCTTCTCCTGTAGTTCCTGCAGCTCTCTGCACTTCAGCTCCTGTGCCACAACCAGCACAAACACCAACAGCGAGCCCCGCCAGGCAGGTCCGCACACCAGGACACCGCAACAGCTCCACCTGTCCCGGTGGTCCTGACAGCAACAGCTTCCCATCCAAGGGCAGGGAAGAACAAGAGACAAGGAGTAAGGCTTGAAACACAGCAGTACACGACAGCCCCTTTGCAGAACTCGATTAAAGGAGACTTGAAGCCACAGTTGTATTTGCACTGATTCAAGGGCATTCTCAGAGCAGCATGTGCTCAGTACATCTACCAGATCATATATCTGGGATGCAATTCCAGGAAAAGCTCGGCCATATTCTTTTTCTCATTCTTTTTCATTTTCTATTTCTCATTCTCATTCATTGCTGATTTTCTTGAGAGGTTTTGAAACTAAACACTTGTGTCTGACCAGACTAGCACGGCTATCAGAAGAGTCTTATACAATTTATTTTCCAAATTATGTAACTCTGTAGGAAAAGAGATCTGCAGCTCCAGAAAAAACCCTGTCTGGTCAGACTGGAATGATGGGCAGAAGAGATCATCATCTACTTCATCTCAAGAACTTGTTTAAAAGCCTTTGATTCTCAGCAAAGAGGCTGCAAAGCCACCATGTAGCTTCAGCATCGTGCAGCAGCTTTACCGTAGAGCAAAGTCGATGGAATCCCAGGGATCACGTCCTAGCATGTTGTTTCATGCAAGCTAACAGAGTGAAGACCAGGGATTTCAAACCTGGTTCTGCTTCCTTACATCTCCCACCCCATTCTGGGGAACAGTGAACTGTTTCAAAGGGGTTCCAGTGCTGCTGTCTATAGAGGAGTCTCTACACATCCCTTTGCCACTCGGGAAGAGCAGCCAGCACAGACATGGTGTAGATAAGCTGGTGCTCCCAACCAACACATCCTATTACATTCCTCGTTGAAAAAGGATTTTTTTTTTTTTTGTTCTAGCTGCTATCCACTCTGTAGCCTCTCAGAGCCACTTTTAGAAGTGGGCACAGATTTGTCCTAGCACACTTTGCTCTCCAGTATAAGTTAACAGTTTTGGCTTAGCTTGTACTGATGGTTACTTTGGTGTGTTGAGCTATTTGCAGGGCCTGCCCCAACCTTAGGCAGCCAGAAAAGCCAAGAAAACTGGGAATCCTTGGGAAACGAAGGAATAGTGAAACAGGACATCACCTATCTGCACAAGATACAGATGTACCAACTTATCAAATGCTGTGCTGAGTTCTGGCCTGTGCAGCTCAAGGACAGGGAGGAGACAGGGGAGACGGAGAAGGGCAAACAGAATTATCAAAGAGCCTCACCTGACACCACTCCCTCAGATCCATGGGACACAGGAGGCAGTTTTCTCTGCCACACAGATCACAGCTGCATTCCTTAATATCTTGCTGGGTGTTTGCTGTATTTACTCATGCCCTCCTCACCCATCTCCAGTGATGGGAAAGTCCATACTTGATTGTGTTTAAAAAAAATTAATGAGCCTGCATGACATCCTTAGAGGTGGAAGCACAGGTGCTCTCAAAGTTGAAGAATGACATTTTTCCCCCTTAAACACTTCAACCCTGGTCATGTCTGGCAAACACTCAGCAGGATTTAGGAAATGCAGCAGTTGAGGAGCAGCCCCTGGTTACACAGGCAGCTCATGACAAGCACGCTGCCTTCCACACTTTCAGCCCCACTGCCTCCCTCTGACACTCTGGAGCCTTCCAATGCCAGATGGGACTCCAGCAGGATGTGTTTCTGCTGGCACTCAGGCCAATGGCTGATGCTGGTAGCAGAGTATCAGTGAAGGATGAGTTTTATTTACATGTTCTGATACAGCTCAGGAATGTTTCGCCTGCATATGTCACCCTTAAGCCCAAACATTCCATGAGAGTAAGCACCAAAACCTGCAGCTGTGGTGAGGGAGAGCAGAAGTCAGAGAAGTTGAATATAATGAAATACTCAAAGTGTTTATGTGATCTGCGTAATTAATGCCCAAAGCTGTTTCCTAGCAGTGAGTTGAGGCTCACCTACTCAGCTCTTTATGGGCAGTGTCTTGTAATGAGAAGGAAATTCAGCTGCTGTTTCGAAAACATGGACAGGCTAGGCGTGGAATGCCATTGGTACACAGTGATCCTTTGTTCTTTTGGCAGGAAGAAAACTACCCAGGTAACTGCTCAAGATACCACACGGCAGGACAGGAGATAGACAAACAACAGAAGGCAAACAAAAGTCTTCTACTGGGCCTAAATACTCAAAAATGTACTTTTCCATTAGTGGTATCCTGAACAAGATAACAATGACTGGGAAAGGCAAGAACATTTGAGATAATTTGCCTTAAGAGCATGAAAGCCTGTGAATGGGACAGAAGGTTCCACACTGTCAGCCCAGTATCAGGACAGAGAGTACCTTCAGTACCTTCAGACAGCTTGGTAAGCCTGGTTTCCACTTCAGGCCTTAAAACCCCAAAGCTTTAAATTCCTTTCTAAGCCTCTCCCAACTTAAGCCTTAGTCTTGTAGAGACAACAGGCCTCTGAAGTCACTATTGCACATGACATCCACAGTTACCTGACATTTTGGGTAGGGTTCCACCTCTCAGATGGCAGCTCTCCACTTTGTGGGTCATCTACAGGTGGGTGAAGAATTGAAATACATACATCTCCATTCTGCAAGACAGAAAAAAGCACTGAGAATAGCCTGGCTTGAGGCTGAAGTCTGATGACGCAACTCCACCACTTGAGCAGTTTAGCCTTGTTGATATGAACACCCAAAAAAAAGAAAACCCAAACCCAAACTAGCAAGAACTGGAAGTGGTTCTCCATTCATCCTGGGATCTACTTTATTTATACACAAGGGTTAGTCTGCAAATTAGCAAAAAACCCAGTCTAAAGTTAGAGACAGTCATGTTTAAAGAATGCAGCAAAGCAAGCAAAAATAGTAATAAGATAGCATAAAACTTAATTGGTCTCCAGATAGCAAGTACTGTCACAGTGATAGAAATAAGCTTTAGTCACAGGAGATTCAAAGTAGGGTTAAAAAAATTTGGTGTTCCCAGTGGTAGCTGAGTTTGCTACAGGAATTTTTGAATTGAAGGGTTTATCACTCCCTATTAGCTCAGGTACGAAAACATTTGTTCTCCCAGGACACAGGGATGTTGAACAGATGGCGTGGGGCAGGCTTGCACTGCTCCCCTAGGACACAGCTGTTCGAAATATCAGATGAAAAAGCAGGAGATGCTCTCTGAAGGTTTCACTGAAAATCCCTTCCAGCATGCGAGATATTCTGGCAGCATATGGAAGCCATACAGCCAGGTAATCCCCCATATGTGTTCCACTCACCACTGTTATGGCCTGAATATAGATTTAAAGCTCCATAATGCCCACCCTTTATAAACATTTGGAAAAGCCTGAAACCCCAATTCTCCATCAGCAACAGCCCTCTGACACAATTGCTTTGTAGGAGCGCTGTGGCAGTATCCACCACATCCAATATCCTCCACTAAAGTACTCCAGGGACTCGTGGGGTCCCAGTGCTTTACTGCAGGATGGGGTGAAGGTGCAGACGAGTCCTAAGGCCAGCCAGCAGATACTGGCCTCCCCAGGCCCTACTGGCTTGCTCCCCCTTGCTGCTGGGGTGACGTACAAGTTCCTTGAGGCAGCCCCACACCTTCAGGAGGCACAGCCTGAGCTGAGGGGCAGCACTCACGCCGCCCCTGGTCACCCCACTCAGAGGCACAGCTTGATGGCAGGATCAGTCCTGTTTAGGATTCCAGGCTGGCAGCTACCCACACATGTGGTCCCAGGCCCTTCCAGCACTGCTGGAATGCAGAGCTCACAGCAACAGCATCTGTGCCTTTGAGCCCAAGCCAGTGATCACAGCCACAGATTGCAGCAGCTCACCTGAGGGGCCTCGCAGACATTTCAACTCATCTTGATTAACAATGACTTTTGTTTCATAGCCAAGAAAAGATCCTCCATCAGCGTTGGAGGGTTGTGATCAGGATCCAGATTTCAGTGGCGCACCAACCCTGCCAGGTTTGCTAATCTAGCCAGCCCTTGTCACTTTGAAGCAGGTTTTAGTGAAGAACACAGCACTGCAGCACCTGGAGCTGCTGAATACCACAGCACATACTTATGTTGCTGGAACAGTTTGCCATAAGAAGGCAGTTTCCTTTTTAGGACTCCAACAGGCTTGTGCAACCTTGGAATTTTTTTAGTATCATTTTAAGGTAAAGTTAACTTCACTAATGTTAATTTATGTTCCCAGTCCATCACATTTTTATTAATAATTTAGTTTAGTTTTTCCTTTAACCCTTTCCTGGGAGAATGCAATGCTGGTGGCTCAGAGGAGGCATCACAGCACTCAGGAGAAGTTCCTGAAGCGATGAGGTGAGCAGCATGTGGACAAGCAGATGTTTGGCAACACGAGGGAGGCAAGGATGTGAGAAGTTTCCCTCTTGCAACAATCAGTGTTACATGTTTGGGAATTGCACTGCATTAAAGTCTGGAAGGGTAAAGGGTAATGGGGCCTGGTGACATCAGCACAAGGTTTTAAGGATCAGGGTAGGCAAGGAGTGAACCTTTTCCTACATACATTATGAAATATACAGACAAGGAGGATGAGGCATTCATCTGCCAACGGGAAATAGCCACAATTCTATCTAGGACTGAGAAATCCTGTGTCATAAAAATAACGAACAAGACAAGACAAGAGGGCACGGGCTTAAGCTCTGCCAGGGGAGGTTTAGGTTGGATATTAGAAAGAAGTTCTTTCCAGAGAGAGAGATCAGACATTGGAATGGCCAGCCCAGAGAGGTGGTGGATTCAGTGTCCCTGGAGGTTTTTAAGATGAGGCTGGATGTGGCAGTGAGTGCCATGATCTGGTAATCACAGTGGGGGATTGAGGGTTGGACTTGATGATCTTGGAGGTCTCTTCCAACCCAGTTAATTCTATGACTCTGTGAAGTGAATGCAGTTTTACCAAAATTCAACTAGATGACCTAAGTGGAGATGCGAAAAATACACCGTACTCAAGTCTCACTGCTCAGAACTGGAACATCAGCCCCAGCCTCTCCATCTGGTCCCACCATCAGATTCTGTAAACTGCTGTTTTCTTTTATCTTTGCACTAGAAGGGTTTCTTTTTTTCCCTGCTCCTGACAAGCCCTCAGACCTCAAGCACTTTGCTGAGTTAGTCTCAGTTTCATTTGGAGTTGTCCCAGTGCCTCATCTTCATTGCCTAATTGCTGTTTCCAAAACAGCCTGCAAGTTGCTTCAGGTTCCCTCAGCTGCAAGAAATACTGCTACAAACACAAAGTACAAAGCTGAGAGCTGGAATATTTCAAGGGTAAACCCAAAAGACACCCATGAAGTTTTGGGTTAGTTTCTCCTTCTACCTTCAGTTGTTTCTAGAGTTTCTAGAGCCAATTTTTCATCCTTCCCACCAGGACTGGGAGACTTCCTCTCCAAGACTCCTTTTGTACATGTCATTTTGGTAACTGTTTCCCACTTGCCTCCTGCCAGAGGATTTCTGGATTCAGAAATTCAATACCCACAGTATGGGTCTGCAATAATCTGCAGATCTCAAAGTTGTCTTCATTTATGGATTGAACTTCCATGTAACTGGAATAGAGCCTCACAGAAAACCACCACCCTTGGCTACATGCAAGATTCTGTGCCAGGTACAAAGCCCAACTCAGAAGGCTCATTTGAGGACGTCCCTGGGCTTAGGGCAATCTCCATGAGCAGTTTTCAGTTATTAAAGGTGATGACACCTTACCTCATAAATGTTGGGGTGCCACATTTTGGTCAGGAATCTGAAGGTAGGTGGTGAATATGGATAGTCGATAGGGAATTTAATGTGAGCCTGAAAAAAAAAAAAAAAAAGAAAATATTTCAATATGAAACAGAACAAAAAAGATCAACAAGCAACCATTACAGAGAAAAGACTAGAAAAAAAACCCCATGTCATTAAGGCTACTAAATTGCTCATTTTATACAGTGGGGCCATGTGGACTCTACACAGTTTCTTATGAGCAAAATGCCAACTGAACAAAAAAAAATCCAAACACCTGGGCTGGTAATGCTCAGAAAACAAGACAAAAAAAGGGCATTTACCACGTCCTAATTCAAGAAACACTATTCAACAACTGTTGTTAAACAGGGCAAAATGTATTGGAAAAGTTATAACTCAGGATACTACTGGGTTTAAGAGCAGACTAAAAAAATGTTTGCTGAGTTGAATAGACCTGTTTTACATTTGCTTGTGCAAATATTTAAAATTATTCTTTCCATGACGAAAAAGATTTGTTACATAACCCAAGGATTTTTGCCTTTCTTGTGCCAAAGTTAAGCTGGCCCATCTACCTGTGTTCCTAATACAGTGTTTTGCCACCACAGGCACTTTTTGAAGTCTCAGTACTATCTGTGTCTGTTTAACAAATTAGTGCAACTTGATGAACTGAATATTGATGGGCAATGACAGCAAACATTTCCTTCCAGAGGTCAGCAACCAGCCGTGGGGCACAACTCTGAGCTGAGTCAGTTGAGGGGAGGCTGCAGGGATCCCACCTCTGGATATTCTCTGGATATTAACTTCTCTGGATATTAACTGCTGTCCTGCCATTCGCAGCAGTCTGAATCTGCACTGAACAAGTGCCCAAAATACTCCTCCCTAAAAAGGGGACTTGCTGCATTGTGGAGCACAAACCCTTCCCTTGAAACTGTTCAATCTGCCAACAAGCTCCCACCACCAACCCAGTGTGGGATCTCCAGAGAAGCCTCTCCTGGCCCCTATACCATGGCCAGGTTCATGTGCAACTGAACACAAGAAGAGGGAAGCAAGATTGTGAGAGCAGAATTCCAGGCCACTCCCTTCCACCTAAGTATCTAACCGTGCTGCTTGGACACAGGGTGCTGGACTTGTTCAACATTACAAACTAAGTTTTATTCCCAGAAACAGAAGCAGACAACCAAACAGATGGATTACTGAGCTGTGAAGTACTTGGCTACAGCTTTATTTATCTGCATACACCTTTGCCTTGCAACCCAAATTTTATGGGGTCAGAGTGCCAGGCAGCCAAGAAAAGAAGGTTTTGTGTTCACCTTTAAGTAAGAAACTCATTGGCTCATGTGGCTGTATGGTCTGCACATGCCTGTCCATGATAGTGACTGTTTCAGCAGCACTGAGTCCTCACCCCACAGTCATTTCCCACAGCACACTCACGACCTGGAGGTTTATGATCCGCTCAAATCCCAGCCCACGGTTTAAGGTCAGTTGCAGGAATGGCATCACTCCAAGGGCAGTGAGTAAACGCCTCTTGTCACCACACCACTGCAGAATAGAGCGCCTGCTGCAGCTAGAACAGGTCTACAATGAGCCACCCTGCACTGGGAGCAGAGCAGAGATTTACCCAGGGCAGAGCACATCCGCTCCAGCTCAAGGTATTGCATCATGTAGCTGCAGACTCATCTGGACCACTGGGGTTTTCCCAGGAAAGTCCATTCCTGTGCTTACATGCAGTTTCATGAGATCTAAGACATAAAACAGCCCAAGAACTGAGATTAAAAATGCACGAGACAACAAAACTCAGGATTGAGCTACCTACAAGATTCTTGGCAGAATCTGTCTTCTACACAGGTACAGTTTCTAGGAGGCCGAAACAAAAAGCACTGTGCCAGCAGAGTACCAGAACTGACATGCTTGTATCTCACATGAATGGTCAAGGAGTGCAGGTCTCATTCCTCTCTGTAAAAACCCTCTGCTTTCAAATTGTCTCACCCTGAGGGATTTCTCTCAGGAAGGCCGCTCCCAAAGCTGAGCCTGGAGCACCAGTTATGGTCCCTGTATGTGATGCAGACTCCTGCAGAAGCTGTGGATCCTGGAAGACTGTTCCAAACTTCTAAATCCGTTCGTACAGACACAAGTCTTTAGTAGAAGAGACTACCTGCCTACAATAATTATCATTGTGGAATGTGGTGTTGTGTCTCGAGAAGGATGCTCTTGAGCTCTAGGGCTAGAAAATGCAACTGAGGAAATTAGAGAAATCTTTTCTTCCCACATGGATGCAGCACTGTAATCCATCACATATTTAGAGAAAGCAGTCACTTTATGTGTTGATAAGCTATTTCTAACAAGCCTGTAATTGTTTAGCATGTTGAGATGCTGTACTGGAGCATAAAGCCAAGTGAAGCTTCTCTACAAACCTGATTTCAGAGCCAAAAGACACCACAACATGAAACCTCACATCACAGGCAGGGATTTTTTTCCAAACAAAAAGAGCACCAATTTCAGTCCCTGTGGTGAGATCATCCAGAATTTGAAAGTGAAACCAGATGCTTTTCCAGGGCATTACAAACAAGTCCGAGAGAATTACTCCACATCTCTTGTGCCAGAGGAAGCATGAGAAGTTACGTAAGCCCACTCTGCACTCACTGAATGTTATTTGAGTTTCTGTGTGGGTTAACCAAGCCAAGAATTTTCGAGACAAGCTGCAAGACTGCAAAGATGCAGCAACAGCCATGATTACAGGTCATTTTTTTTTCCCACTGAAAGCCCGATTCTAAACATGTTAAAAAACAAAAAGACCAAATTCAGCAATAAACTTCTAAATAGAGCTCCCAGAATGGTTTCCTCCCTATAACTTCACCGATGTAAGGCAAATCAGCTCATCTCTGTTAAGTTCAGCCAGGTTGCTACATACTAGAGAGTGGCAGAGTTTTTTTCAGGCAGCTTGTTAGCTCCATTACAGCCAGACAAACTAATTTAGGAGGACTAAAGGTGCAGCTCAGTCCCTGGCCTGCAAGTACCCAACAGTTACCGCATTCACCATGGGCTTGACTCCTCTAGCTGAGCTTAAACTGGAGAGAAATAACTATTTTGGTGTTCTGATTTTAGCCAACTGCTTGCCATGGCTCTTTGACATCACTGAACACAGTCAATAGCCAGAAAGGTGGAGATCAGCCACCAACCCATCCCCTCCTTCTCCAGTTTATAATTAGTCACAATTATAGTCCCTAGAAAAATATTAAACTCCTCTCAATAGTCCAGCCTGGCAGAATATCCAGCCCTTTACAGGCATTTACAGCTACTGCACAAGAACTTCAACCTCCAAGTTACACCATGGCATGTATTTCAAGAATATTTCTACCAGCATGGTCACTTTGTTTCCTGTTTTACTGCCTTGCTCCCATGCATCCTCAAAAATGACTGCACTTCAGGTTTGTAACCTTTCTTTTGTTTCAGTAAGGTGAAGTCAGAGATTTTGCTATGCATGCCAGAAAAATAAGAGCCTCACTGGATCCTGTGTTATCTGACTGAAAACACAAACCTAGTATTCCTACCAAATTATTCACTGATTGGAGTCAGTCCCATGTGGCCAAGAGCATCCTGGCCTGGATCAGCAAAGGGTGGCCAGTAGGACTAACATAGGCAGGACCCTCTCCTAGCTTCAGCTGTCTAGAAGTTCAGTACTTGTAGCTGTAAATGACACTTAACCAGTCCGACGCGGATTTCCTATGCTCCTCTCAAGTTGACAAAACCTAGAACCCTGGTTTTCAGGCAGCAAGGGTAGGAATGGTGAATCCGTCCTACCTGCTCACTGCAGAAGGGTTCCTGGGGAAGTGCACACAATTCCTAGAAAGCCACCAGCATCACAACTGCTTTGATTTGAGGGTAATGGGGAGCATGAGCAGCTTTTACAGTGGCCAGCACAGACTGCAGCTGCTCAGTTTCTGGAAGTGCCACTTACAGGCACTTTTTATTTCAAAACATCACAAGCTTAATGCCAGCCCTATTAAAATGCAACATGAGTGAAGCCAAGCACCTTTTGAAAACTGTATTTACAGAGGAAGTGCTTTGAGTTTCTAAGTTATTTTGCAATTATTTGTAATTATCTGCTACAGCTGGCCCACGGACAAGCTCCTACTGACTCTGTGTGCAGGTACCACCCAGGTCTCTCACAGATCACCCACCCTGGCCTGGTTCTTGCAGACAGCACAAGGCATCCCTGCTTTCCTTCACAACAGGATAGCCAGGTTCCTTGCTGTGCACATCGTCCCTTCCTGCAGCAATTCCCGCCTGACGATGGCTCCTGCCCACACGCTGCTGACTGCTCCACACGCTGAACGTGCAGCAAAGGCAAGCAGAGGAACCACAAGCCACTACTGGGTTAAGATCTAATCCCACAAAATGCTCTACTGCTTCTGGTGCATCAAGCACTGGCACAATTCATCTGATGGGCTCTCCTCTTCCACATTAAGCCTGGATTAGTGAGTGCAGTGTTAAATACCATGTGCTGGAAAACATGTTTGGTACAGGTTAGCAGGCAGCACCAGCAGCCTTTTCCTCACATCCATGAGGTTTAAAGCACATTACCACTGTCCGGCTCACAAGCTGTAAAGCAGCACTATAGCTAGACATGGTCAGCTATTTGACGAGGTAAAAATGAATATACGTCCAACACTGCTATTTCAGCTCCAGTTATTATGACTTAGGACATAAGTAACTTCTTTTGGCAGCGCTGGGCACTAGACTGGTATTTTAAGCCCAGTTTTTGCTTCATTTCCCACCAGCACCGTATCAATGTTTATTGACATCTGTTGTGCTTTGAGAGAACTAGGAGCACATCCCTGATCCAAGATGAGTGACCAGCTCAACTAAGCCTTGTGAGTCCTGAAAACTCTCTCAGTACTGGAGTGGCCACATGAACAGCAAGATCAGCAAACCCTTTATATCCTGCACTACCTGCACCTCTTCATAAGGAATGTGAAACACAAAGAACTGAATGTGAAAAATGATCTCATGAATAGGATGTGAAGCTTCTAAACCAGAATGAAAATCAAGCCATAAGACAGCAGGGTAATGAT